GAACCCAGTAACTTGAGGCAGTAATTATTTCAGTCAGGAATGATGTAAGAAATAGAAACAGTATTCACGTACTTTTCCAATCAACTAAATTGATGATTGGTTTTTCTCATCATTTAGGAACCATGGCTGCTTGAAAGGGCCATCTGAAAATTGAAAGGAAACCAACAAAAGAAGATCTGAAGTAGATTCAGAGGTCTCTTTTGCTTTTTGATGATCAGAGGGTCTAGATCGGAGGTCAGCAACTTCAGCCTGTTGGTCCAAGCCAGAGAGCGGGCTGTTTCCTTCTAGTGGCAGCTAATATTGGTTCTTACGTGTGCCACCGAGTAGATTCCGACTCAGAGAGACCCCATGAGTTACATTCTAACATAATATAGCTTCAGTTTTAACTCTTGACCTGCCAGCACCTAAAATTGGTAGTAGCATCCGACCCTTTAGGAAAAAGTTTGCTGACCTTGCTCTAGACAATTTTTCTTAAAAAGAGGAATTTAAAGCTCTTGTGAAACAGTTGGTCAGAGTGTGAGTGAACGCTGAGTTTACAACCGAGCACCTCTGGCTCTAAGCCACTTAGAATTTTCTGTCTGGAATCTGTTACTTAGGGTTTTATTTATTATTAAATGTTCAGCATCCGTTCTCATGAACGACAGATGGCCATTTCCTACTAAACCAAAAAAGGACTCTATCAAATTTTATAAACAGCAATTTAGATCGTTTCTCATAGATCAAAAACGAAGATAGAGCAGTTTGGTACTTACTGACACCATCCCCTCCCCCCCCAAAAAAAGTCTTCATAAATTAAATTTCTCATAAAAAGTTAAAGCTGAGAGTACCTTGGACACCTCTGACTGCTGTGATAGCCCCCGGAGCAGAGGGTGGGGTGGGGCAGAGGGCTCAGACTCAACCTCCAAGCATTTTAAAAATACTCTTCTCCAACATCTCCCCACCCACTGCCCCGGCCAGTGAGAATCTCTGCCGCAGTGAGCACTTGCTCCTTCGGGGAGCCTGCAGTCATCCCTCAGGGTGCTGGGCTGGAGACCAAAGATCTCCTTGAACCGGCTTAATGCAGAGAGCTGACTCACGTTCCCTAGCCCAGCCACTAAACCGTACCCAAGAGAAGATGGGACCCACAACAGACTCTTAGTAAAAAAAAAAAAAAACAAAATTAACACCAGGACCACAACCACTAATTTAACTCACAGCCTTTCTCTTCCAGAGTATATAAGCTTTTGTTCATTTTATAAGAAAAAGACTCATATGATTTGTTTCATTTTACCAGAGAGAAAATATTGTGTAATTTGAATCATTA